AACAGTGATTGGAAGAAAAGCACTGGAATAATTCTGCAAAACTGCAAATCAAGAGCATAAAGAATAATCAAAACAACAATGTGGATTTCATACTTCAACAAAGGAGCTCAAAACAAAGTTATGATATACCATGAATTCACTTGTTCTTTCAATACATGAAGGCATTAGCTACTCAAATTTTTCACTAATAACTTATCTTGTCAGTTAATACTATTTTTTTAATCCAATTTTAAATGTTAAATTGCATTTTTCCCAATATTGTTCTGATCTTATTTTTATGATTTTTTTTTATGATCACCTATTACATGTTTTTGTAAATAAATAACTTATCTACTGTGTTAATAAAATGCTCAAAATACAGCTGACCATCTTGCAAAAGCAGCTCTCACAATCTCCGAGTTATGTTGCCATTGGCAGCTTGATTTTAGGCTGCACGCGGGCTAAACTATTCCGGAAAGAAATGCCATTTCCATCAGCCAGTACCCCACTACGTAACGTCTTCTTGATCCGTCGTCCACTCCTTTGCCTTCGGTGTTTTTACCGGCTGTTCCCTATAATCTGAACTGTTTATTAAGTATTGAGCAGCTTTATATGTGAATCGCTTGTATTGAGATATTTGTCGGTGGCAATTTTTTGACCGATTTTACAGCCACATCTAAAGGCTGATTTACACGGTACGATTTGTCGCGCGCGACTTGTAGTATACGACTTGAATCACGCAGTGTAAATGCCCCTACGACTTGTCTACAACAGTCGTACGCAACCTACGACTTGTAGTAGAATTTTGAACCACTGCTTAAAATCCTACGACTTGTAGTAGGAAAATCGTATACTACAAGTCGCGCGCGACAAATCGTACCGTGTAAATCAGCCTTTAGATGTGGCTGTAAAATCGGTCAAAAAATTGCCACCGACAAATATCTCAATACAAGCGATTCACATATAAAGCTGCTCAATACTTAATAAACAGTTCAGATTATAGGGAACAGCCGGTAAAAACACCGAAGGCAAAGGAGTGGACGACGGATCAAGAAGACGTTACGTAGTGGGGTACTGGCTGATGGAAATGGCATTTCTTTCCGGAATAGTTTAGCCCGCGTGCAGCCTAAAATCAAGCTGCCAATGGCAACATAACTCGGAGATTGTGAGAGCTGCTTTTGCAAGATGGTCAGCTGTATTTTGAGCATTTTATTAACACAGTAGATAAGTTATTTATTTACAAAAACATGTAATAGGTGATCATAAAAAAAATCATAAAAATAAGATCAGAACAATATTGTGAAAAATGCAATTTAACATTTAAAATTGGATTAAAAAAATAGCATTTTAACTAACAAGATAAGTTATTAGTGACAAATTTGAGTAGCTAATGCCTTCATGTTTTGAAAGAACAAGTGAATTGGTATATCATAACTTTGTTTTGAGCTCCTTTGTTGAAGTATGAAATCCACATTGTTCTTTTGATTATTCTTTATGCTCTTGATTTGCTTTTCTTCCAATCACTGTTTAGCGGATTAAGGTTTATTGATAAAAATATAAGCTTATTAGTTCAGAGAGACATCGAAATTTATAAAAGGAAAAGCTTCAGCTTAAGTTACATGTAAATTAACAAAGGCGACATAAAGTTCGAAGTGTCTGTCTCAACTTACATGCCCGGCTGCCGTGTAAATAGTGGAAGTCAAAATGTCCGTTTGCGAAAAAAAAA